TATTTAAGACATTTACTATTTTTGTTTAGTTCTTATTAGAGAGGGACACGTAAAAAACGATGCTTTAACGAATGGAGCTTTGAAGGAAAATAATAGGTTTAGGGGGAGTAAACGTAAAAGCGCCATGGATTGCTTGGTATTTCGTCTACTACGCCTAATAAGAGACACAGTTCGAGAGCCCGGACCGATGGTCATCACAAGTTTCAAACTTCCACGAAGACAAGGTAGTGACAAGTACTTCGCAGACGGTGCATACTCACGGCATCTTGTCGCAGGGTAGGAACGCTCGTTCGTAGCTTCCCTGAGACAGGAGCAGCGTCGACGAGCCCCGTGCGTAGGGTCTCCCTCCCTACGCCTACCCGTTGGTTTCAGGTAGTCGTCGTCGCCACCTCTGTCATCGCCACCACCTGGACTTGCCTCATCGCGCACCCCGATGGCACTCGGCAAGGTTAGTGCCCCTCCGGCGGCACCTAACACTCACGGGCGTCTTCCTTGGGCTCACCTGGTCGCGCGCGCACACCCATACGGCGGTCCGCGCTCAAGCTTTAACTCCCAAGCCCGTAACGCCTCGATGCATCGGACTTTTCAGACTGAGCACCAGTGGCGCAATGAGCCGTACCCCGCAAGAGCCCATTGCTACCAACCGAAACAAGGCTCAAGTGCTGCGAATCCCTAGGATGAAGAATCTAGTATGATCAAAGCGCGGGAAACTACCGACCATCGATGCCGTGGTGTTTCCTTGAGCTTAGTAATCATCCTTATTTTCTAACCAAGCTGGCCCAAGGGTTTTACCTAGCCTTTAACCCACCACTCTATCATAAGTCGCGTTTTTCGCTGACCAAGTCAAAACTATACAAACTCTATTCCTTATAACTATACTACCACTATCCGATTCTATAAATTTAAGGCTCGCTATCTTATCTAATAATGCTGTCTCAGTAATCAAAATTATCTTCTTTTGTATCCTCTGTATTATTTCCTCCATTTTACTAACCTTGCAATCAATTATCTTATCAATTTATCTTATAATAGAAAAATGGAAGTTGAAATTTTATTAACAATTCATCTTCTGCCCATCCGTAACAATTTTCGTATGATATTATAGGCCTTATAACAGTTAACTTTAAATTATGTAAAATTAATATATTATTGCATAATATATAATATTATTATACGGTAATTATCAACTTAAAAATAACCGCTTTTGAATAAATTCACAGAATGATTAATTATTTTAAGATTTCATTGCATTATTTTGTAAACATAAATAATTAACGTATTCTCAATTTGAAAATTTTTTAAAATGTCAAGAATACTTTCAAAGTTAACATATGACCAACTTGAATAACATAAATTTGAATTTTGTTTTAATTTATAATTTAGAGAAATTTATTCTAATCTATTATTAATTTTTAAAAATGACAAGTGATTTTACTTTCATTATTTAATATTTATCGTCAGCGTTAACCAAGCATGTTATAACTACAAAATTTCTTTCAAAATATGTAATGTTTTATAAAAGTATTATCTAAAATAAATAGTTTTCAATCTTTTTCTTATAGCATAAACTTTTATTAAGAAATTGAAGACTATTTTCTGTTTGTCGTTTTAGTCAAGATATATTCATCCCTATAGTACAAGAAAACAAGATTAATATCTATTGCATAATTATTAAATTAATAAATGAAGTGAAAAAGAGAAAGTATTTTTAGAAGTCACTTAAAAGTTGTATAAGATACAATAGACTACTACAAAAGAAAAATATTCAAATTAATATGGGCATTAGCTTTTTTGTCTTGTTTGTAATACATTTAAACTAAACAAAGCAAGAAGTAATAATGCTTGTTTCGTGATAAGGTCAGGGGTTGTCGAACTTCATTTGGTAGTATAAAATAGAGTCGAAAATTTGTTTAGGGCCCATGTTTTTCGAATTGCTGAGCTATGCATTGTCGTAAACGCTACTATGCATCGTGTCTTTATCGGTAAAGGTCAAATATGCCTGTGGTCAACCAAGGCAGATTAGACGGCACGTGCGAAGGAAATTTAGTGTAATATGAGCAAAGCTAAGTTGTATGGACTTCTCGTCCATGTCACTTGACTCTTCTACGTAAAGGTTTTTTGAGAACTTGCTTGTCGCACGTTTTTATTCTTGAATAAAATAATAAAGTCATATATTCTAAACACCAGCTAACCACTAACTGAGGCCATTCTTTCAGTTATTTATATTCATTGACTGGGATTGCAATACATTATTTTTATTAACGTAATATAAAAATTAAAATATTGTAGGAGCCGCGCTTGAAATGTTCAATATATATTGATCAAAGCTATAGGATTATATTTGAAATTCAGATGAAGTTCACACCATTACTAAAAATGTATTTATAAAATTGTTGAAAAAAAACTTTCGAATAAAGACAAATTAATTAACACTATTTGAATTTTCGATGTCTCATATACGATTCATTTCATACATAATAAAGTATTGTTCATTACGGTAACCAACAACGATTAAATAATTTTAAATACCATTAAATAAAATAACACATTTAAGCTTTTTTATAAATTTTAAATATAATATATAAATATCATTATCGATTAATAAAACTTAAAATTAATTTAAAAAATTATAATACATATAATAATAAAATAATACATTAAACGAAAATTATTTATTTAACGACTATCGTTCAGTCTCTACATGAAGATCACTTGCGATAATCTATTATTAATACTATTGTACAGTTTTAGTAAATAATTTAGTCTCATAAATTAAAATTAATTTTTTAAGTAAAATTTGATGACGTTATATTGGTACATTTCAATAACTCACCGATTTAATATTAGTATGTTACTATTAAATTTGTATATTAATATCGTTATTGATTACTTTTTGATGCTGTTATGAACAACTACATATGAACAAAAAATTATCTATATAATTAGAATAATTAAAATATACGTACGTCAGAAGATTTGTTTCAGTACATTTTAGGTAGTATCTCTTGATTTATAAAAGTGCATATTTTAATAAATAATGTAAATGACACGGGCTTAAAGTTTCAAACGTTTTTTTGTTTTCTTTTTTCACCAGAATTGAAGAACCTCCTCGTGCTTGACAACGCAGGACAGTATTAACGAATCTATCGATGGTAAACAAAGGACTGGCAAAGACCGAAACAACTGCGTTACAAATGTAATTTTGAATCCAGTCGTGAGTCGCATCCGCCATCTGGACCTAGTAACTCTAAGAAGGTTGGATAGCCTGCTCGAAGATTATTGGTTGAAGAGTGCATCAATGTATTTCTCATTGGCCACGTTATCGTCGCTCATGACGATCGCTCCACATGATTCGGAATAATGACGCTGCTGCTATTTAATAGGGTTCGATAGGATCAGGTGGCTCCGTCTCGAGGAAAGCAAGACCACTAAATCATTCCTTGAGCTCGACGAGCAACATACCGGCGGAAAAACGTGACGCACTCGCTATGCTTGCCTTAAGTGAAGGACACTAATGCATCCTTTACATTCAACTTCTGTCTTCAAAAATTCAATATTTAATTAGGCCTACGTATTATTTTAACATAATTATATGATTATAAAGAAGAATATATTTGTTATCTGTTGATTTTACATTTTAAATTTTATATTGTATAAAATGCTTGTTGTAATGACATGGAAAGGCAATAAATTTTCTAACAGTAGTATTTAATAAAAAGGCCTATTCTAAACTACAATTCAAACAAACGTACAAAGTGTTTTTTAATAGAAAATTTGTCAAATCAATATTTAATCAATTTTACTGATGAATTATTTTTTTACAAAATCTGAAAATAATTATTAATATAATGTAATATAATATTAATAATTATTACTTTCAAATTAATATATTTTTCATAAGATTTAATTTTACTTTTTATGTACAATATTTTAGTTATGCTCTCGTGACAATTATGCAATGATAAGTTATATAATTTGTTGTTTATTATTGAATACTTTCATAAATGTATATAATTTCTACGTGGAACAAAGAAAGACAAAAAAAATTGTATTGTGAAATACACAGTGCATTTGCACAGTGCACAAGATTGTTTTATTATATTTAATTTAAAATTAATAAATTCGTAATTAAATTACGAATTGAGGCCATATTTGAATAATAGTAATTAATATAGATCGCCGTAAATGATTGAGCCTGTTAAAAAAATATGTGCACGTCAAAAGAAAAGCCATTCCGTTATTCGTAGAGGAAAATTACGATCGGATACGGAAATATGACCGGTAGCAAATACGTTGCTAAAGTAAACAAAAATTAATCCTTATTGACTAAGATAAAAACGAAGAACGCTGTAGATTATGATAATCGCGAGGAGCGAACGAAAAGAGAATCAAGATCTGGAAGCATCATTTTGATCAATTTTTCTCTATGTCAACTATAATTGCGTGCAGTGTCAACGCATCCACGCGCACGCAGGCGCATGCACACAAAAATACTGAAGCTCTTGTGTACATACAGATAGAAATGTTGGTTGAGCGTTAAGCAGTACTTGGGAGAAAAGGAGTAATAGAGCACAAGTGTCGCAGGTCAGCAGCTAAAGGACCGACCTGTATGCCATCCAATCAAATGTTTTCGCACAGTATTCGAGTAATGAAAAGTGAGAGTCGCAGCAGCAAAATGCGTGTTGCATAACCTCACTCTTCCATCGTCGCCACGAGCTGGAGTACGCAACGGCAACGGGTGCATCTTATCGATACGGCAGAGCGATCGTCCTAACGCTGTAGTCATATCACACCGGGCTGTGGGATTTGGCTGGTATGTGAATTACCTACACATGTATGCTGTGGGTGCGTTTATTTGTGTGCAAAAGAAGCGTAAGAAAGTATAAACATACATCCATGGAATCCCGCTAGCTATCTGAACGTCTCGCACGTACTATGCGCTACATATTTACATTTCTTTCTCTTTTTGATTTTTGCTTTTTTAAACAGAACCGATAAAAGCTTCAAGTAAAATTTAAAAAATTGTGAAAAAGAGTAATTAATGAGACAGAGAAATAAAGAAAGCGAACAATTGGCTTATAATCTGTTCGGCTTCGAAGTGAGAAGAAAAGAGGGTTACTACTGGCTGCAGAGTATCCTTGACAAGAGAATGAAAAACTGAATAAGAGAAAGATAGAGAGAGACAGAAAGGTACGTGTATGAGAGTGCGCGCGCGCGCTTAAGATTCGAGAGAAGCAAAGCTTCACACGTAATTTATTCACTTAGGTAAGAAATAATGAATATCGTTTCTTGAAATTTTTCTATTTAATTTTGTGGTTTTATCTGTTTAAGTGGCGAACAGTTGTAGATTTACCTTTCTTACGTATTTATGAAATTTTTAGCAAGAAAATAGTCTTTCTTCACGTAATGAACCATAGACTCATTTTTATAATAAAAAGTATTGAATTATTTTAATATTAAGATAATTTATTAAATTTTGATAATATTATAATTTATAAATTACTTTACCATGAATATAAGTATGATATACATATCAAATATAACTACATCTATTGGAGCACTATTCATTGCCCAAACATGATATAAGAATTTTAATGATTAAATCATGCATAAAGCTTTAACTCTCATAAAATATAAATAAAGCCTTCCAGTCATTGAACAATATTTGCAGAGAATTGCACATTAATACGCTGTGAGATGTAAACATCTGCATAAACTTAACTTAACTTAAAACGAACAATATGAATTTATAAACATACATTATGAATGAAAAATATTTAATCAAAGCAAAAATTGAAACTATTATCAATATTTAACATTATCTTTATGCAGTTTTACATTTGTATAACATGTGCATGTTATAAGTGAAATCTGTGTATTGTAGCATTAATTTTGAGATATAAGAAATATTTTCGATAAATTCAAATTTACATAAACGTAAAGCTATAATTCATGCATTCTACTCGATTGAAGTCTATAAATAAAAATATACATAAATGCATTTATTTTTCATTTTTAAGTAATGAAGAATTACTATAAATATTAAATATTAGCTTTAAAATATATTAGTTTCAATTTTCCATATAACGAGAGTTAGTTATTTAATGTCAGCTAAATAAAAAATTGAAATAAATCGGTTTTTGTAATGAAATATACAATTTCACACTAAAATTTTCAAAACTATGTACTTACTCAAATCCAGTGGAGAGTTTAAAAATTACAGTTTCCATATATTTTATACATAATTATATTGAAACTTGTAGTTTATTGCGTGCTAATTAGGTGTATCTTTTTCTTTAAAGTATTTAAAAATTATTTTATATATTTGTAAGAATTAATTTTAAAAGAATTAATTTTTTGAACATATATTATTAAACAATGTAGTTGACATTTAATTATGTAATTACAATTTATTCAGTAAAAATATACATTCGTCAGAATATTATTACACAGACGATCATTAAAAGTATCAGAGATAATTGAAGACAAATTTATTAGTACATACCAAATATATTCAAATAATTATCTATGATTGCAAAACAACTTTCAACATTACAGTATAAAATTTTTTATTAATACAGATTTACAAAGCTAGTGTGTTAATTTATATATTAACCTAGTTAAAATATAAATTATAAATAATGTTATACGATATAAGAATATTAAATATATTTTATAAATTTTTTATGCACGCAGATAAGTTATTGTTCTTCAATCTGATTATCAAATTTTTACAAATATAAAATAAAAATAATTTGGACAATTTATTTTTTATGTATTTAGAATTTTCTATCGTTTACTATTTTTTAACGTTTTTAATGATACCTATACACATAATTATAGACATATTTTCTATTATAATTATTTTTGTAAATACGTCCCTTAAAATAGATTTGTTGATGAGAATAATTTTAGAAAAAGGTAAAATAATATATACAATTCAGAGAATATTTTTTCAAACATTTACTACATATTACAAAAAATAAATAAATAATACCAAAATGATAAAATTTATTTTGATTTAAATGAACCATATAGTGGATTTTAAATAAGGCAAAATTTGTACAAATGAATTACATTCATCAGAAATAAAACATAAAATTAGAAATCTTAAAATAATATTTGTCTTATATGTTATATTTATTTTACATTAAATTATAATATTATATATTTTTAATTTTTAATTTCAATTTATTTCTAAAGTTTACTTCATTTATTTTGCTAATAATGAAATAGTTGTAACTGAAATTATATATACCTGTTCAAATAATAAACTATAATTCAAATACAATATTTAAAATAAATTAAACGTACATTTAATTTCAATTTATTTGTGCTATGCTTAGTTTTCATTTAATAGGTAAATTATTAATAATATTAAAATAATTATTGATAATTATATAATCTTTAAAAGTATAGCAATTTTTCTGTAAATTAAATTAATTTTATTGCTTTTTGTTATTTTATACTTTGTAAATATATTTTTTTATATACGTATATGGAGTCTTTTTTTTTGAATGTATGTACTAATTTGTATTTTTATTTAAATATATCATTTTGTGATATTTCTATTAACATCTTTAGAAATAGATGATAATTATATTAAGAAAAAATTCTATCAAAATGCAAGTATTAAAAATTTACCATATATTTTTATTCTTTATTATTAAATTTATTTCATAATTTACTATTTAATATCTTTTGGATAAAGTAATATGCTTCTAATTTAATCTAATTTAATTTTTCTTCTATATATATATATATATATATATATATATATATATTTAATTGAAGAAAGTTTCTGAAATACACTGTATATTTAATTATTTATATTATCTTTTTATAATAATTAATATAATCTCGTTCGTTTTACATAATATAATTACATATGAACTTAATAATTGTACATAATTACTATTATTTTTAGAAATACGTACGAGGCAAATGGCAATATACCATTTTTAGAAGTTAATGAGATTTATTAATATATTCAATGCATATTATTAATAAAAACTAAAATTTATGTTTTCATTGTCTTATATTTCAATTATCGTTATTATTGATAAGTAGTTCAAAACCTTTCTGAAGTAAATTAATTAATATTTTGTGAATTATATTTATAATATTGAAGAATGAAAATATTTGTATGAAATTCACCAAGCTGGTATTTCAAGATGGAATTAATTAAATTAATTGTCCAAAATTTTAATACGAAAACAAAGAATGTATCAATATATCAATATAATTATTGAACATGAAAGCTAAAAAATTTAAAACATCGATTTTTTTATATTGGATGGTTCACAATCAGTATAATTAAAAAACAACGCTTACACTTTTACAGCTATTTTTGACAGTACTTTTACAAAAGTTGATGCCAGCTACAACAATTAATTACACTTATTTTATAAATATTTTAGTACTATTTAGATGATTTAAAACAAAGATTATGTAAATTGAATAAAAAAAATTCGTAAAATGAAAATAATTTTGCATACTCAATGATATAATTTTTTAAAAGTAATGAAGGATTTTGTAATTATAATAATCGTATTATAAATATATAATTAATAAATTTATATTTAAACTTCAATTTGTGTTTATATTTAATAATACTATTAATAATTACAATATTTATTAAGATTAATTTTACATTTCTAAAATATGTAGGTCGTAGTAAAGTATAGTAATAATGAACAAAAAATATTAATAAAGAAGATTATATTCATTACATTTGATGAAATTTGTTTGAAAATAATGTTTATTATTTTTTAAATAAAAACTTTTAGGTTGCCTAAAGATTTTTCTTAATTACTATAATTTCATATCTTTGATATTGGTTATAAGAATAATTTAATAAAATTGTACAAACGAAAATTAAAAAAATTAATCAATAACGAATTTTGTTGATTAAATTTCAGATATTAATTGAGAAATGATCTTTGGTATTATATATTATCAATTTGTTTTGCCAAAAATATGTTATTAAACTACTAAATAACGTATTAAAAATATTATTTATGATGTGACATTCTCATCACTTTATTTATTTATTTATTTTTATTTTTTATCAGATCAAAATATACTTTAATTAAAGATTTATACAAGCAAAATAATATACTTTTTCTTAAAGAAAATGTGTATTTTCAGATTTTTTAAAAATAATTTACAATTAGAATATACGTTCGATACACTCCACATGTTATGTGTATTTTACTTGTTATCGATCTTGGTTAATAACTATATTATACAGTAAATTCTTGAGCATTTAGCTTTTGATTATAGCTAGTGTGACATCCAATTTAATTTCTTAAATTGTGTATATTTTTGCACAGTCAAACTTTTAGACTTTTTTTACTTAAGCACGAGATGCTCTATGTACGTGTATAATATATTTCAGGATAATGAAAATTTCTTATTTACAAATTGGTCTAAAAAAATCTTATTAATGAAAATACTACAAAGAACCAAAATCGTTGTTATTAAATTCAAAATCTTTATTACGTCTCAAATTATATATATTTTTTAATACATAATATAAATTTAATAACTTTTTGAATCTTTACTATCTTAAGACATGGACTTTGACAACTACAACATAATAGTATACACTCTAAATCATTTTTAAAATATTATTATAGAAAACTAATAGTCTACACGCGATTACAGTATATAATAAATTAATATTGGTAATAATTTATTTCAACTCATTATAAGTCGAATAAATCCTACAAACATATATATTAAATACTTATAAAATCTATAACAATGATATATATACAAATTTTTTTTATATAGAAAAATATTTTATTAAACAAATATTTGTTATTTATTATGTTAAAAATAATTTTAAAAAATACTGAAGATGAGATGTTCTTGAGTTGGTTTCATTACCTATTTCATATTTCATACATTGAGCGATAAAAATACCATAATAAAATAATTTAAGCTTACGTTGAATTATGAAAATACTAAAGTGTTCAAGATTTATTTTATTTTATTTATTTTATTAAAAACATAAATTCAGAATAATATTAATTTTAGTCAATTTTCAATGCTAGCCGTTGTTGATTTATTAATTTTATGGCATGTATTTTAGCTGCCTATGATTACTTTGAAAATTGTATCTTAACTAATATTCATCTATTTCCCACAAAAATTTCGACTTTCTATTTTATTCTATTTTTATG